CCTTTATACATCACTTCCATTGTATCTCTAAATGACTAAGCAGCGTTAGAGTCCTCTGAATGGCAGCATATTTTGTAATAAAAAACATTTATGCTGGCACCCATGAAATTACTTGAACTTCAGTAGGAATATTTGTCCAAAAATATATATATAAAAGAAAATATCCTGTCATCAACATTTTAAGTCGTACATTACTGTAGGATGTTTGCTTCATAGGATGTCTGGATGACAAATCTAGCACCTACTTTTGGAGAATAACATGAGGATCTCACACCTGTGGACAGCTGTGGCAGCCATCAAGTATGGTGGTGGTAAAATCATGCAGGGGAACCATTTTGCTGCTGGCTGCCTGAAACCTTTCAGCTCATGCAAATTACAATAACCACGTCCAGTTCCATCTGAGATGCAGGCAGAGACAGTTTCCAAAGAGCATACGCCTCATGTGGACCAGAGGGAAAAGACAACACAAAGCCAACTACTGGGCAAAAGATGACAATTTCACTTCATGGAGAGAACATTTTCTTAAACCATTTAAGTTGACTTCTGATAGTTTAAATGGTTTGAACCAAATTGACTGCCTAGTAGTTCCCACAGGTTCTCCATGTTCCTTTTGACAGATCAAAATGATTGCTTTAAAGCATCAATAACTTTAAATGTGCTGTGTGAACAAATTAGTGGATGACCATGGTAGGTATAGATCTGTGATGAGTTTGTCCATTTTAGATGTGCATGTAGTGAACTATACCAAATCAATTCTAAACTAGAACAAGAATGAGAAAACTGAGAAAAGAATGGATATAGGTCTATAATTCGCCAAGTCATGCAGGTCAAGAGACAAGTTTAAAACAGCTACTGTAACTGTCCAGGGGATAGTTACAAGTTAAAACATTTTGTGTTCGGTTAGTATAGTTATAGAACTTGTATTTTGATTTTAAAGTTAATTTACCATTTGAGATGTGCTTGAACTGAATTGTGGGTAATCCAACATGGTTGCACACATGCCAACATTGCAGAAACGTTATACACTCAAGAGGAAAAGACGAAGGGGATTGGTGGGAGAGAGAAAGATGTTTCCAACCCACTAGTGGGGAAAAATCCTGGGTGGTGAGTAGTAGGGGACCAGGAAGCCATTCTTGTTGGAAATTGTGAAAAGACTGAAAGTAAAAAATATTTATATTCAAACTAATTAAACTGAGACTGCACAAGGCAAAGCTATATGCATTAAGATTGAGGGTACAGGGTTGTGCAAGGGGCAGTTTACCATTGGTAAGTGTTTGGCCAGCCACTATTTGCTTTGGGTATAGCTGTGTGATATCCATCTGTCGGATACACCTGTAATACCCTGCCTTTGAAATAGGACTGGCTTAATCTGAACAAATCCAATCACAAAAACAAGTTCAAAATTTGTTTCTTTATTTAAAAGATGACACGTTGTGGGAGCCAGCAGCGTCGCTTGACACGTTGTGGGAGCCAGCAGCGTCGCTTGACACGTTGTGGGAGCCAGCTGCGTCGCTTGACACGTTGTGGGAGCCAGCAGCGTCGCTTGACACGTTGTGGGAGCCAGCAGCGT